ACAATCTTATGAGTAATCTTGTATTAGATTTTCAAATCTTAGATTTAAAAAGAAAAATTTTTACGAATTCTTAACTCAAAATAATTTGCTAATTTTCGTGATTTTTCCATATTTTGTCAATTTTTGAACTTTAAATGCTTATAAAAAAAAATTGTGACTAAGGATTTTTAATATTTTTCATCTGCCTTTGAAACAATATATTAGGAACCTTCTATTAAATTTTCAAGCTTTCGCAACCAACAAATAAAATTTTATTGATATTTCTAGAAAAAAAACTAAAAAAAAACGAAAAATGAAAATGTCCCTATATAAACTGTTCAAAATAAATCAAAATATTTTGAAAATGTTATCGTGTATAGAAGATGCAAATATAAACAACCAGTGAAAATTTCATGTACCTACGGTCATTTGTTTTAAAGTTACACCAAAAACAAAATTCAATTTTCTGAAAAATCGATTTTGCGTAAAAATTCCCGTTTTTTCCTTCATTTTTCTTTTGTTTTTCTTGGCGCTTTTGAAAAGTACTGGGAATTTTAAATTTTGACCTCCCCAATGCACCAACGATATTCACTTTCCAATCGAACAAGATACTGAAGTCGAAAATCGAAGCATTATTTCGACTACTTATCGTGTACACAGATACAAAAAAAATAAAAAAACACACATCATTGTAAAACCAATACATTCATCGCTCCGCTCAGAATCCAAAATAACTGTACGACCGTACAGTAACAGTGTAGGTATATTATAATATTGAAGCAAGACTGTAATGCTGTGTAGCTGGTACTTGGTAGTGTACAGTGTTGGGGAGTAACTTAACTTAAGTTACAAGTTACTGTAACGAAATTACTTTTTAAGTAATTTGATGGTAATTTAATTACATTTTATTGTAAGTAACTTATATGTAATTTAAGTTACTTTTTTGCAGTAATTTTTATAAATTACCTACTCGCTACTTTTTTTTTGGATTATTAAATTTTTTAGAACATATTGATAATATTGTGTGTAGGTAAATATTAAAATATATCATAATATAACTTATAAGTATTTTAATTTATAGGTAAAAATGTCTAAACTGTAATATTTTTGTTATAGCTATTGGCTATTCGACTATAAAGTGTTACTTTTAGAATGGAATTCTTATCTTTACTCTGTGTTGTATCGTCGCGGAAGGCTCATACAGCATTGTTGGAACTATCAATAAATTCGCCGGTTCGAATCTCGGTCACGGGCTGAACTTCTCTCCGGCAGACACTTGTCTGGAGAGAGAGGCCGCCATCCCTCGACCGGGCATGGCACCTACGGGTGCCCAATTTGAAATTCTGCAAAGCTTAAACACACGTGTTTACAAAAACCTACAGTATCCTCCCCCACGGTTAAAACCCACCCAATTTTCTACGTTGCTGAGGGTTAGTTAAAAAAAAAAAAATTAATTAATAAATAAATGTGTGACTTGGCAATACGACTGATAGTAACTTACGCCCGCTGCTACTAGTTCCTGGATGGGTGACCGCCCGGATTCGTAGTAGTAAAAAACTAACACGTGTTTGCATAGATACCGTAACAACCGTAAAAACCGTAATAACACCTTACCATACCAACCTTACCAAACACAGTTCATAATCCCCTACAACAGCTAATGACCATAGTTGCCGGGCTTAAATTCAATAAAAAAATAATAATAATAGTGTTGCAAGAAAAGTATCATCCGTTAATAATTTCATATTTTTGATTGTCATTATCTATTTAGTTTATGTATTCTTATATTGACAACATGATTATTAAGCTCCAGTGATATTTTTGAAAAAAGTAACTTCTATTGTAATTCAGTTACTTTTTAAACTCAAAAGTAATGTAACTTAACCAAATTAAAAAAAAGTAACTTAAAAATAATTTAGTTACAATTTTGATAAGTAATTAGTAATGTAATTTAATTACCAAAAATAAGTAACTTCCCCAACACTGGTAGTGTAACGTGCCAACCACTTCAACTCAGTTTTGATTGTATTTTGAATAAAATAACAAGTTGATGGTATAATGTTAGTTTATTTGTATTTATTTAACACGTAAAATAGACTAAGTCCAAATAATTAATTTATAAAAATGTGGTAAACGAGATGTGACTTAGTATATATCGACTTGGTGGTTGCTCTGCTGGTGCTCGTCTACTCGGCTGGTGTTCGTCTGATGGACACTCTTGTCCATCGACGTACCTCGTCGGGTATTCCTAATAGCTCCCTCCTATGGCAATTTTTGTATAATAAATGGTACATAGCCGCGTACACCTGAGGTCATTTCTGGCGTCGAATACGAAATAATGTTAATTACGGATTATATGTTTCCAAAGTCATCTATTTGTACTGTTTACGGCTTTTTCGTCTTTCCTATAATGTAGGTAACGTATGCGGTACCTAGGTACCTACTATTGTAGTAATAATAGTAGATAAGTGGCTACCAGTTCGTTAATGTTGCAGGTCGCAGACACTTCTTCAGATAATATAGTCGTGGTTGATGAATGAATAAAATAACAGTTGTTGTATAATTGTGAATTTTATTATAACACTCGATAATTTTACTAAGTTCAAATATTGTTGTACAGACTACAGAGTGGCTTGAAGGTGCTTGCACTAATGGGTGGTAGTCAGTGTTGAGCAGTATCTATATAAATGTATCTAGATAAAACTACAGCATCTTCATCTCATCTAGATAAATAAAATATTAGGTATCTGATTGTCGTCTAAGATAAACTGTATACCTATCTAGATAAATATACCTAGATAAATAAATAATTTTTAGTTTCGATTGATTTGTTGGTAGTTTGGTACTTTTAATTTTTTTAATTTTATCTTGTCATTGATCAAACAAAATATTATTACACTATTTCTGAAAATAATCGTGAATATATTAATTTTTTTCTTTGCAGTAATTTTATTGACAATAATAATATTATAATAGTATAATATTCATACGAATGTGTTTTGTTCTTTGTTATTTATTATTACGTTTCTCGTGTAATATTGATATTGTATATTGTGTATTGTACTAGAAATGGTTTCAATGAAATAATATCGTTCTTGTCTATTTATATAAAGCTAAATAATATTGTTATTACGTAATAGTGTAACATTTCCATGTTCAGTTTGAGTTGAAGTAAAAAAGTAGGTAGACAGAAATAAATCATTGTTTAACAATTAAAAAAGGAATTGCATAGAAAAATGTTGTTTATTAAAATGAATGGTCATAAAATAGTAAAATACTAAAAGAATTTGTCTAAAATAATTAAGAAATATATTTATTTTTTGGGCATTTTAAACAAAAAATAAAAATATCTATTATGATATCTAGATAAAAAAAATATGTATCTTTATCTTAATCTAGATAAAAGTAAAAATGATCATCTGAATCTCAATATAGATAATTGTTTACGAAATTATCTTTATCTTATCTAGATATTATTTTTGTTATCTGGGCTCAACACTGGTGGTAGTACTACACGTCTGAAAACAGGCCTATTCGGGCTCCCTTATATATGAAGTTCCCCGTGCCCCTCGCCAACAGATACGGTAGGTATCTTCGTTCTCACGGATGTCATTTGTGTGGTCATCATTCTAGCCCACGCATTACGATTGAATGTATTACTAATTTATGATTAGTCATTTTACTCTTTAATATTTTAATTTCATCGTATGCGTCCGGCAGTATTCCTGTCAAATATGACAACCGTCTATTTTGACCCTATTGTCCTTAATATCTGGTTATGCCGACCTATTATATATTATAATGACTATACACTCGTGATTTATGATTTGTTGTCACGTAGTAACTTGCTCACTACAATAATATGGATATTGCGTGCGTATACCTATCACGTGTTCGGTCTGTACCATTAATTAGTTCTGTAGGTACTCTTATCGATATGGCCGCCCGGATGCTGATATTATTACTATTACCGGGGTTCCTTGATCCCTGCAGCATTTATGTCTATTATTGAATATAATATATATGAATATTATAATCGTATTTTACTTAATACAATATAATATAATATATTATTACTATTATTAATATATACGTAGTCACAGCTCGTTACAGTAGGTAGGTAAGTATAAAATATTATTTTAACATCGTATCACACTCGACAAGCGACTGAATAAGGTAATTAACTAATAAGTGATGTTAACAAATGCCTACCTACATATTAGGCACCTAATTGATTACCGTAAAATGGGATAACTTTGATAATTTTTTACTGTTTTATGACAATTTTACTTTTTTTTTTTTTTATGGATAATTTACGTAGTATTAACGATACGGCGTCCTTGGAGGTAGAACGAACAGAATTCCTACTGTTGGGGACCATTTTGTAATTTGTAACTATGTACGATGTGTCGATCGAACGAACGAAAGTACTCTTCACTGATTTATAATCAAAGACCGTGATTACAGAATATAGGAGTTCGTTACACTATATAGTCGGTTGTCTTTTGTTTACGTCGTAGTTTAGGTTATAAAGAATATTATAATAATTGTTTTACCGTGTGTGTTTGTCTGGCTAAATAATAAATAGACGCTTTTCAAACATTCATTTTTAATAGTACAAATAATATCTCATCAAATCTGTGACTGTGAAATCAGAAACTTGTGGTATTCTGGGTTTCATTCATGTGCTTTGTACAGTACTCGGCAAGATTGCAGTAGACTTATTATGTATGAATTAAACTTAAAGCATACTATATATGTTTGAAAAATATAAATATGACAAGTGATATCTAACCACCCAACTATTCTACAGATGACTGGATTAACCACCACGAGAAAACTTACACCTCAAAACACAATTATCGGTCTATAGGATACCGGAATACAGGTGTCGTGTTCATTCCAAGACTGAGTGATCGAGGCTACTTACGTCCATTGATCGAGTTCCTTTTTCTAAGTTCCCACTGCGTACAATACAGATAACCATCTACTGATAAGGCTAACTTCAATATTGCATAAAAATGCATAAGTGTATAGTGTGCGGCAATAAATCTAATACCACCAAAGTCAATCGTCCAGGAGTAATATATCACGGGTGAGTACTAATTGGTTCTAGAAATTTACTCGCTCAAACTGTTTTGAAAAAAAAAAATTTGCATTTTATTGTATTTATTAATATTTGTTTTAATATAGAATACCCAAGAACGCATACATGAGAAGAAAATGGCTAAAAGTTTTTGGAATTGATCGTTGTCATGATTGGCAACGGATATGTAGTGATCATTTTTTAGAAGAAAACTATAAGCCAGGAAAAAAGCGATTTTTATTTTCAAATGCTATTCCCCAACCTTATGATCAAAATGGTTTTCCTTCTAAGTAATACTTTTGGATCTCTATAATTTAATTTTTCATTTTCAATAATATTTTTTATTTTTATATAGTGATGCTACTCAAAGTAATGATATTGAAATTGAGAATAATGTAATTTTACCAATTGAACAAAATATGCCGGTCAGTAAATAAGTATTATTATTTTTAATAAACATTGTCAGTACAGTATGATATCTTTATCTTTTTTATGATTTTCCATGCTTTTCTCATTGAATATGTATGACCTTGGTTTCTCTTCTTTAGTAATTTAGTGCTTCTAATTATACATCAGTATTATTCTTGTCCACTTATATTTATAAAATAGTTAGTAGTTTGACCACCAATGTGTGTACTCTTTTTGTAAAACTCTCGGGATATATTTTTTAGTTACTAATAATGTATTGTTAGGAAAAATCTAGTGTAATGAATCGGCGATCTGTGTGATTCATTTAAGCATTTAGCTAAAGTGTCAAGGTCTTTTGTGAAAAGAAAACCAATCCTACTATTTTTCTGAATTTCCAACAAAAACACATTAACTGCATCTTATTGTACAGAACGTCTTTGGTTGATTTATGCTAGTATAAGTTTTGTTTTTAATCCAGAATAATAGTAAACAAGTTTGAGAAAAAAAATTTGTAAAATTGAGTCACAAAATTTTTTGTCGATATATAGATAACACAATTCTTCCCTTTCATTATACGTGACAGTATGAATTTCCATTTTAAAATAGCAACTGAAATTTTTTGATATAGTTTAATGTGTACATAAAATAAACCAATATTTTGTAAAATATAAAATCAAAATGGTCAACCATTAACGCCCAAATAAAGCTGTATTTATATTTACTGCAAGGAAATAATCATCTTGTATACTGTTCATTGTATCATAATAAACGAATAAATATGTACACAAAACTTGTTTTCATCATATACTGTACAGCCAACGAGGTACTGAGAATCATTGATTGTAAATATCAATAATTGTTCTTAACTTATACCTGAACAATATTGCAATGTTTGGGAAAGATTAGCTAGGTTATCAAGTGTTCTATAGTAGTAACTAGTAAATAGATTCTATGTTATTCACAACCAGTACTCAATAATTCATTATTTGGGTTACAATGACATGGAAGGATCCATACCCTCTAGTTTCTACAAAAAATAGGCTGCTCGTTGTATCATAATATACGAATACATATGTACACACAATTTATTTTGCATCATATACCAATAAATATCAATAATTGTTCTTAGCTTACACCTGAACAATATTGCAATGTTTGGGAAAGATTAGCTAGGTCATCAAGTGTTCTATAGTAGTAACTAGTATACTGATTCTATGTTATTCACAACCAGTACTCTGTAGTTCATTATTTTGGTTACAAAGAAATGGAAGGATAAAAAATAGTCTTTAGACTATCCTAAATATATAGACTAAGCAAACTAGACTATTGAATGTTATATCACTAAAATATGTATTTAGCTCATATCATATTTTAATTTGTACTTTATAATTGCAACGTAGCTGTTTCTAATATTAATTTGAATTATGTATTTATATTTTAAAGGACCATACCTTAGGATCTGGATTACAATGTTCCGTTAAAAACTGCTTCAACAGGTTTTCAAAGAATCTTAGTCTCTTTGGCTATCCTATGGATTTCACGCTGAGAAAAAAGTGGATAGAAAAATGCGGTTTAAAAATAGATCCCTCTAAAATAGTAATGAGTAGTACAAGAGTTTGTGCTACTCATTTTGAAATCGATTGTTTCAAAAATACTGAATTAAAGAACAGATTAAAACCAGGCGCTGTTCCATCATTATTTTTAGATAACGGTAAGAAAAAAATTATAATTTGTTGTTTTATTTTGTATTAACTATTAATTAGCATTCTTTTTTTATTGTCATTTTATTGCAATTGCAATATGTAATTATTGATTAAAACGTTTTGATTTTAATTAATTTCATATTAATTTTCAAAAGTATCTTTAATGACCTCGGAATTTATAAAACTTACATATTTTTGTTGGATAAACATGCTTAAAATAGTGATTTTTCCTTTTAAATCAGTTAATCCTAGATAATGACTTGGGAATGTCCTTTTAAATAATCTTTCGCTGATGTTATATTTCTTTTTTATAGTAAAATTGTATTTAAAATCTTATAATAATTTAAAATTAAAATTCTTTTTTCGAATCATTAGTCCCTAATGCATTGCCTGTGCCAGTATTGAGTACATGTGAAGATCAATTCATACGTTATGAAGCTGCTGATCAGACGTCAGAAGAAAAACAAAACAATGTAAAAGGTACTATGTAAAAAATTCTTACTAAAATACATTTTGACATGTAATTTAAATCCAACATTAAAACCAAATACTGAAAAAATGAATAACTTTTCAGATAACACTTCCATGACAATTGACCTTTCAACTGATGATTCATCTAATGATTCGTTGTCCATTACTTTGGTACCAATTGAAAAAAGAACCTCACAATGTATTATAATGGATGTTAGCAATACTGAAGATCTTACAATTGATGAACATGAGTTTATTTTTGAAATGCCTAAGAAAGTTGTACTTCCTAGCTTATATTGGAAGGGTGAACATCTTAATGCCAAAAATGCAACACGGTTTTATCAACGTGACACCAATGATGCAACTGTGAAGATCGTCCTTTTTTTTAATAACCTTTTGCCAACTATACAAATATATGGCAAGAAATATGAATATACAACGCCTATAAAAACAAAGAAAGAGTTAGAAGATCTTTTAGAAAAAGTAGATGGTATTGAAAAATGTCGTGGTAGGGGTGGATTTGTCTTTGAACAATGTTTAGGCTATTTTGAAAATAGTTTAGTCAATATGTGTTCTGGCTGTGAAGGGTTGGTAAAAGATCGAGATTTGCAAAGAATGAAAGCAAAAATTGTAGCTAAAAACAAAATGATGGAAAGTTTTTACAACTGCGTGAGTTAACTGGAGGATCTTAAGTATTAAAATAAGACACCCGTTCTTTTATACCTACCTAAATATATTGAAATCCGATTTTGTTCAAGTAGTTTATGATTTATAATTAGAGCTCGTATTTGTGTGCACTTGCATATTTATTCTGATTTATCGTATGGTATGCTAAGGGGGCACAAAAGGTTTTCCCAGAGAATTAATTTTTTTCTTACTTTTTTCTTTACAAATTATTATTTACTGAGGCACATACCTAAATAAACTCCTTTTAGGAAACATTTTTTATGTTAAGAAGACTACACAGACATTTTGTTGTCTCTATCTTACAAGTGCGCTTAGAAGATAACGTTTAGCTCTATTAGTTTAAAAATTTGAGTAAATTTATTGATTATAAAGTTATGGTAAGAACATAATCTGTGTTCGTATGGTGTTTTTTTTTTACAATTATACAGTATTTAAACGAGTCTTGAGCATTTTTAATTTATCTTATATTATGTACGCATAATTTGTTTAAAAAAATTTAACTATCGTAAAATATGGCAAGAACATTATCTGTGTTTGTATGTTGGTTACATAGATAATGTTCTTACCATCAATTTTATAATAGGTCGATTCACTCTAATTGTTAAACTAATTGAGGTAAAGGTTATCTGCTGTGAGTAAATTTTCAATGTTACGCACTTGTTGGACGAAGACAACAAATGGCGGTGTGGCATCCTTTTAATTGATTCCTATTTTTCTTATAGATTAAAACTACCTACAAAATATTCTAAAGAAAAGTATTAATAGTAGCGTTCCATAATTTTAAATTTAACATTCAGAAAATAAATGAATTTTTTAGTGCATATTTGAACATTTTAGTGCATAATATATATTAATATAATACTATAATATATATTAATATATTTATGCATTTTTAAGATTTTTTATAGCGTTTATAGTTGGTTATTGTGCGTTTTATTATATATTTATATATATTTATTTTATTATATTATTTTATATTCTATGCATACAAATCCGTGCTCCAGTTATAGGTATTTTTAACTTCAACGAATGAATATAGAAATGCTCCAAATATTATAATGCTTATGCAATTCAAAATGTATGTTTTAATTCTAAAGGTTAAAAAAACCTAAAATAGCATATTGTAGAATACGATAAAAATATTGTTTTGTAACGAGTGAATATTATGTATAAATTTTTTTTCAAAACATTAATTTTCTGAAAAACCGAGTGTCTTAAGTTAAATAGAAAACTCTGTAGATTATTTACTTATTAAAATAGTTTATATTTTATTTTATAGTTTGCTGAAAAGAAACTACTTATATTACAACTAAGAAGAAAATTGGCAGAAATCAAAAGAAATCGTCGTCATAGATTCGCGTTAAATCCATCAGGAATTTCAAATATTATGTATTGTACTACACAATATTCATAATTTTTTAATTTTTTATTATGGGTTCAATCCGAAGTATATATTAAAATGAGAAGCATAGGAACAATAAAAGCAAGAAAACTATCTTTGATTCGAAAAAAATATATTTTGCAAATTCAATACAAATTCACAATATTTTATTAAAAAGTTTTTAATACATAGGATTTTTAAAAAGTATCAAAATAAAGTAATTAAAAAAGTTTTTGACCAATAAATTGTTAATGCCCAGCCTTGGGATTACTATACATTTACAGGTATACTTTTACATTTAGTGTTTTTTTTTTTATTTTAATTATGTACATTTACTTTGTTTATACTATTTAATATTTTTGATAAAAATGTATCAGCTATCAAAATTACAACTTACTATATAATAATTATAATTATTCTTATTCTTATTATTCTATTAGAATTAATTGGATATTGTGTCTCTATTAATAATTAAAATGTCGGTATGAATTTAAATTATTTTTTTAATTTTAAAATTAACTTAAAACAGAAAAAACTGTTTTAGTCGCGGGAAAGAACCGAGAAGGTTACATTAATTACTAAGAAACAAAATATTCACCACATGAAAAGGAGAAATTTGACTGTGAAATATCGGTTTTTTTTCGATATCGGAACTACGAAAAAAGTTATTGGGATTTGAAAAACCCAGACAATTATGGATTTTGAAACGATAAGAACTTTTTTTGTATAAGTGATATCAAATAAATAAAACAATATTTCACAGATAATGCTCTGAACTATATTGTATATCAATTTAAAGTTATAACTATCACTATACACCCTGATTGGTTGTAGATCTATCCCGCTCAAAAATGTTTTTGCTATGTTGTACGTTTGTAAGACGGAGACAACACATGCAGGTGTAGCGTCCACTTAAGTTCAATATTTTAATAGTACCTACACGTGCCATACATACATGAATAGTAAAATATAAATGGTTGATGTAAGAAGTTCATCACCAAATCACCACAATGAATTACAATTACATTTTTAATAAGGCATTAATATTTAGTTACGATACCCTAATTCTATAAAATAAATACTAAATAAAAGTTGAAAATATGGTTAAATGCCTAAGGACTAACTAAATATTATTTCAGCCCTTAAAAAAAATATATAGTTAGAACATTAACATTTTTTGTTTAATATAAACTAAATGCCTTTAAAAGATCTTATTGTAATAAGTTATTAGGTACTGTAGAGTTACAGTGTAGACAATTGCAAGAATACATTGAAAAACTAGTAGATAATTTGCAAAAGCCATTTTTTCATCACATAATTATTTGAAAAATTATCATATTGAATACATAGAATAGGCTAGAAATATTTGACTACATATTGGTCCTTTTTTCACTACTATATGGCTTTGTTGAATCGTGTATGATGTACAGGTTATGTGGGTTTTAGATGGTCACAAACCTTTGATAGCCTAAATTGTCTTCTTTTGTATTTAAATTGTATACAATTTTTAAAATTGTATTTATTTTTTATCATACAAATGTAATTATTACTATTGAGTTGGATGGAAAAAACTAACAAAATAAGAACTTTTATACTGATTTACAAATTACTTAATTATAAAAATTCAATAATTTGAAATGAGTGTTTTATTTTTTAATAAATTTTATGAACATTCTGTATACGCCACTGATATGACAAATCATTTATTGCTATAAAAATAATTACAATTTAATTTCTTAACACATTACTTACAAAAACACAACATAATATAATTATATTGCACATTCATGACGCAGTATAATCTACAATATTGACTTATAATATATAAAAATATTTAAGAAAGTTATAAAATTATAAAAAAATGTATGTTGATGATATTATTGTGAATAAATAAATTTATATATTATAATATTGTCCATGGACCCTTGTTTTAAATTGTCAATCCTTAGATATAAAAATTTAACATTTTATAAATTATTTACTACAAAACAATTATTAAATTTAAAATTTGATAAATGTTGTCAATATTCAAACTTTAATTGATTATAAAAAAAATTGAGGCCACGTATTTTTAATATTTTTAAACTTCTATTGTCACAATATATTAGGAGCCTTGTTTTAAATTTTCATGTATTTTTACAGAACAATTAAAATTTTATTGACAATTATGGACAAAAAAACTAGAAATCGGAATAGTTACACAATTTAACTATTAGGTACATTCAATTATTCAAACATT